GGATTCTAATAATAATGATTCTTAGTATCTGTGTGTATTTAATATCAAATTTTCTGACAATATTTATTTTTATAATTCTCATCTTAATATGAATAAATTTTGGAAGATTTTGATATTTGAATCAAGCTATTTTTAGAGTCTGATACACTTTTTGCGATCAGTATTTGTTGATTAAGGCTTGAGACTTAAGTTGGTTTTAAATATTAATAGTGGATATTGGTGAACATATAAGCGAAAATGATGATTTGAGATGCAAAGTTCCAGGTCGACTGGATCAATTTAACTTGATTTTTGATTTCAAAACATATTTTCCAAATCAATTTCAAGTCGAGTTAATTCGAATCGACTTGAAGCACAAACTAAGTTACTTCAGAAACTTATTTTGTTCTTCAAAGATCTACTTATGAACAATTTAATTCAGATTATTGATAGTCTTCATAGGCCATTGCTCCTTCCTCCATACCCCTAATCTAAAATCTGACATTAAAATAAATCAAATTAAAATTTCTTAAAATCTAAATACACAGCAACAAATATTATTGACCATGCCGCGAAAGCTTAGTAACAATTTTTTTGCGAACAAAAACACCACAGGCATATTCATTTCTACACTAATCGCGCCAATAAATTGCCTTACAGTAAGCAGATTTGCAAGAAAAAAAATACCAGACGAGGAATAAAAAAACAAATACTCGATGTATTGCATGAAATGTGCACAGTTTTATATAAATTTTTTTGTACAAAAAACTATCGAAGTATTTATGTCAAGGTCAGGTTGAAGTTGTTTAGCAAATCATCCAATTAGATGCTCTTTAGCCATTGACAATTATGCATCAATAAATTTTGAATAATGCAGCAATGATTTTCCAAAACATTTCTGTTAACATAGAAATTGTTCATGCGATTTAACATAAAGTTCAGTCATGTCGATAATTAATAATGTATAGGCCGAAAATTCATAATTGATTTTGATGTTAAATACATCGATATTGAACTAGTTGAAGGAGAGAAAATTTTATTCAATGACTCATCATCTTTCATTACAAATCGTGTTGATTTTTATGCATCAATGATACTTTACATTGTAATAAACTGACCGAGTACACATGTACTTGTAAATTATCATTTTAAGTAATTTATTTTATTTTTGATTTTTTATTTCTTCGCACAAAGGAAGTCCGTGAATGTCTAAGTTTACCGCATATTTCAACAATTTGAAAATCTAACGCGTAAATTTTTTTTTGAGGAGTAAAAAAAATCTTATTAAGTACATGCGGCTCAAAAATGTTGAGTAATATTTGGTTCGTAAGTAGTTTAGTGAAAATAAGTTGTTTTTATTTTGAGGGTTATATGATAAAGGCGTATTTTCGGTTTTAATGGCTTTAAATTATTTTGAAGTATAAAATATGTATGTTGGTACCAAGTTGCTACCTTATTCTGTCAAGTTCTATGTTGATCAGAATCGGTTAACAAATATACACCAAAAATCGTTCATTTTTAAATCTCCATCTATCCTTTGAACCAGATAGGCGTGAAACTGATATGAAGTCGGATTCAGATTAGAGCTGAGGCAGCAAACCTGCTCGTATTTCGTATTTTTCTATGGAAAGTGCCATTGGGGATGATATAATGCGATGAGCCTTAGATTAACTAGCTTTATCTTTGGTATTCTATATGTTTAATCATGTTAAGGTTCTGTGATTGCTATGACACTCTCTAGCTAGTCCAGCTAGTCAACCAGCAAGCTATCCAAACCAGCCAGTTTCCATCCCAAAAACATCAAATCATTAAAACTAATCAAATTTATTTTTCGACCACAAAAATAATACTCGAAAATAAAAATTACTACACTTCTAAACTTCCGTACACTTCAAACGCGCTTCATTATTGAGCTTGCCCATGAATTTTCCTATAATATGCTTTGCATTAAATACATTGATGTGAATTAGTTAATATACAAAATATATTTATGTATTGCAATAATATTTTTAATCAAGGTCGTTGCGAGAAACTCTTTTTCTACTGCTATTGGAGCTTGCTTCCACCTGTTTTGTAATAAATGAGAAGCTCTAAGCTTGAGAGAGTCGTGAGACAATTACGACCGTAAATAATAATTTTATTTTGGAAAATCAATGAGTAGTCAAAAAGAGGTGTTTTGTAAGCATTTGAATGTCACTGAGATTTTCTATTTTATGCTTAATTATTTTCGGGGTTTAATTGCGGAAAATTAAAAAAAATATTTTTTTTTTCAATAAAGCAAAATAAATGCTAAAGAGAAAAATTTATTAGCTTTCATAGCGCTGCTCACATGCAAGTTGGCAATTTATTTTTTATATACTTTATGTGAAAATTTGTAATGAAAATAAAACAACATCATGTGTGTGTCTATATACATTAGCAGACTAACTTCATGCTGATGCATTTATGTGTAATATCAGGTCAGTAAGTTAGTAAAGTAAAAGAGTAAAATTGCAAAGTTGCAGCAAAAAACATGCTTTTCATGATTCTGCTTGTTATACAATCTGCGCTAATTGTTTTTATGAATGAAATTAAATGTTTGCTCGATCTTTTACGTATTAACTGTGTGGCTATGTCAGGCAATCTTTTGCTGTTTCGTGACGAAGCAGATAAATTCTAATTGTCATTAATAAAGCGGATTTGAGATTAATCCGCACTTACGGCGAGTTGAAAGGCAGTACAAAGTTCACTTTTTTTTTGCGATGATGATACCTTTTATATTTTTGAAAGCTATCGTTAAGACAATAATAATAATTTTAGCAACTTTTAGATATCTTCAAATGCCAATCATACTTAAGGTGTACTGAAAGATTTGTTTTCAATTGTCCCTAATATATGGCTTAAGGTAATGCGTAAGCAAAAACAAAAAAACTTTAATTGATGTGGAATGTACGACCTCATTTGATGATCAAAACCATTTTAATTTGTTAGAGAAATTTTTTTAAAATTTTAATTCTTTTGCTAATGATAGAAAATATTGTAAATGTTGGGCTAGAGTCCATCTTTTACATTATTTACAGGCGATGATACCTTTGAAAATTTCTTTTGTTCCAGACAAAATTTTATTCTTCGTATTGGATGAAAAGAGTCAAGTTTTAATGATAAATTACATCAAAATTCCACGAATTTTTAGAGAGCTTAGGATTGCTTTAAGCAAAATTAAAGACAAAAGACATAGTATGAACTTAAGATCCCTGCTGGCTAGTAGGAAAATGTGTAGAGAATAATCAACTGTCACTGTGAATTTAATAAGACGTATCTTTAAAAAAAAATATTATTCAGGTGTGGGGATTCAGGATGTAGACAAAAAATCTTTATTGCTGATCATATTTTGTTTACCGGGACAGAAATGTTTTCATAGAATTAATAATTATAACCTTTTGGGACATCTTGAGGGCATTAGTGACTAGTGACATGTTGAACTTTTTTTATTAAAAATTGAAAACTCTAATGTTGAGTTGAAAGCAATCTATAATTTTGTCATTACAGTTTCGCTAGTTTTTTCTTGAACTAGTGGTCTGAATGGAGCTTCTCTATTGTAATCAACTAAATTTAAATCCAGATATTTTGATTAATATATCCAAATTAGTTAAAATGACCTTAATTGAAATCTGATTTTAGCTATAGCTATAGAAAAAATATTAGAATTTGTATGGTTTTGAGGAAAATCAAATATCGAATATTTGAAATTTCATACAAATCGGAAAAATCAAATATTTGAATATTTGTTTTTCCTCAAAACCATACAATTATCTCTATGAGTGATAGAATCAACTTTTAGACATGTCGGGAGGTCCAATCTTAGTCATACCTCAGAGTATGGTACATTGACTTTGGATCCTAGTATAGAGAACAAGGTATCCTTAGAAAATGAACAGTAAGCATGTACAGGAATATAAATAGGTCATTATCAGCTTATTCCATAAATACAAATCTAGACAAAGTTTCGAATCAAAGCAAAAAAAAAAATTAGAATAAAAATAAGTTTCACATTCCATACAGAAATGTTTACATTTTTTTTCTATGCAACATATATCAAATGATATCCTTCAACTAATTATTGCTCCAATAAAATTTTAATTAATGTCATCGAGCACAAACAATTTTATTTATTAATTGATTGAAAACAGGATTTCCCACGTTTATATTTCCATAGATTTAAGTCATAATAATCTTGAAATATAATTAAAAAATGTACATCAACACCTTAAGTGACTGCAAAATTAATAAGGATGGAAAATTAATGTCTGATTGATAGTTGAGCTGCTATCTTTCCGATAATTAAAAACACTCTTTAAATGACGAATATTACAAGTTTTTTATGATTTATATAGCCGTTCAGCCCACGACAGTAGCAGCAAGTAGAAATGACAAAGAAGTGGTCAACAATCCACAAGAGAAATTATCTTAATTCAAAAAAAAATATTGTATGTCTCAATAAATTTATTACTAAATCTTGCAAAGAAAAAGAAGCAGAAATGTCAAATCTCAATTTCCAATATTGCTTAGTAAGGCCACTAAAATTTCCAAGCAGTTTCTCTCTCGGTGAGATTATGAATGAAAGGAGAAGGCTGAGATTTTGCACAAAAATAAAAAATACTGCTGTTCCTTCACACATGTGTAGCAATTCATATTGTACCGAAATATTTGTCAACCGATTGTGTGCGTAAATGCTCATAATAAAATTACTTTCATTTAACCTTATGGGTCATCACTTATGTCTCTATTTCACTTTCAATCGATAACTTTTTTTTTATATTTCATCTCTGCATTTTCAATCGTCTTCTTCTCCGTCTCTTGTTAGACACAAATGTCTTTCGAAATGGATTTACTTGCAGTTGTGTTAGACGTAATTGAATAAGAGTCTTTTAAATGTGAAATAAGAGAAGAAGTCGTCACAACGAATCATCATCATAATTGCTGTTATTATTATTATTTCAAAGATCTTCACGATCTCTTATTAAACGACAATATCAACTTACTACTGTTAAATTTAGCTCCATAGGAGATGAGCATCGATAAAGGAGTTGAGCCGCGTGTAACGCGCGGTATTCCAAATATTTGATTGCCCGCATTTTGACCGACTTTTAGGTAATTTTTATGTAATCCCATATTACTATTATCAGCACACTTGCTGCTTTTATCTGCTTCACCTGCTTGTCGACTTTGGATGTTCGATATGTGAAGAGTCTTTTGCTATTGTTGAATATCTGTAAAGTAAAGATTTTTTTTTATTAGTTTTAATGATTATAGGAATTATTATGGGCAAGGTTTGGTATGGTACGGTATGCTCATCGCAAATGATGGTGATTACAATGCTGTGCATTATTTATTATTGTAATGTATTCAGAAATTTAAATTGAATAAAATGTTTGAAGTATTTAGTATGATGTGAGCAGGGTTGGGAAACTCCACATAAGTAGTCTAAGCTAATGCCAGGATAGTCCTGCTTATTTTTTAGAGTTTGTTAAAATTCACTTCAAAACTTAAAAAATTAATTCAAGTTTTTTTTTAAAAAATTAAATTTTCTAGCACAAAGAAAAATTTGAAATTCACAACACTGCCAACAACCTCAAATCATGCTCCGATCGCATCTATTCTCATGTTTTTCTGTAATTTTTCATCAAATCTGATCGTAAAATGCACAAAAATGCTTGCAATTTATCGATAAATTCTCGATGTTAATTCTATATGCTTTTAGCAAGGTGTCATGCACAATGAAGCAACAAAATAAATCGAGATGCAAGTCACTAATGATGTAGAGAAAAAAAAAATCATAAGCAAATCGAACGTACATGATAATGACCTTAACCTAAACATATTTTGTTGTCATCATTGCGTTATGCTTAAATCTATTATTATTGTAATTTAATTTATTTTCCTTCATCCGCTTAATTATTCACGTAATATTTGATATTTAAATTTTTTTAAGCAGAGCTTTTTGCACTCGCGATTGATGCAAGAAAAAAATGTAAACTGGTGCGAAAAGTAAATTTCTTCTCGCGATATTCTTCTTTCTTTATTTTATTTTTTTGTGCTCATTGTACTTCATCTACAGGGTGGACGATTCATGAATGTATGCTTATATACATCTATAAAGGTTCATTGTCATGTGCCATATGTACACGAAAATCAGTTTATATAAAAAATGAGATTTTTCCTTTTATGTGTCAATAGACGGCAGTAGTTGGACAAATGTAATTGTGTACATTTACTACCTGTACATTGGAATTTGTTAAGTGCTGATATATATAAAGCTAAATTAGTTCTGCTTCATTAGAATAATAATTGAATGTCTAGCCTCAATTATAAAATAATATCTAATGAAAGGTCGCAAGTGCCGAAATTTTGGACTAACTGTACAGTTTGTACATGCAAGAAATAATCTGTTGATGAACTGGCATGTCAAGGAACTTTTCATTGAAACATGTAATTGAAAATGTCTGACATTTTAGATTATTTGCATAAATATGTCAGTTCTAGATATTTTATAAATTCTATGATGATTTAGTTTCGTTTTGTATAGAGTTGCTGCAGGCTTGAATGTTTGATTTTGATGATGTGAAATGTAAAATTTTGAATTTGAATTTTCAAGTCTAAATAGGTGAGGAAGTGTAGATCTCTCCTACATGTGTATACTAATGTAAAACAAGTCAGGTTTGATGGGAGTCAAACCCACGACCTCAAAAAGGCGATTTATGACCACTTGACCATCGAAGTACTTATCTCACTTAGGCTATCTGTCATACACATACAATCAATTTCACAGTGAGTCTTATGCTCAGGTCTATCTAGTACAGATATGCTCTTCAAGCTACTTCTACAGGAAGAGACTAAAATAAGGTCCAAAGAATGTTTGACTCTAAATAATGCTACTTTATCAGTCTTTTATTGTACCAGCAGCCATTTTTGGTACTTAATAAGCCAAAAATTAATTTACAGCAGTTAAATTATCGATCTTATACCTTCTAGATTTTAGCTTTTGATAAGTAAGCACCATAATAGTTTAATATTGGCAAAAATTGTTTAATATGAAGTTTGAATCGAACCATTTTGTAGTACAACATTTTGCAAATAATAATTAACACCTGCGCCGCAGGTAAAATCAAATAATTTGGAAATTGACCAAATAGAATTTAATAACAAAACAATAATTTCTGCTGTGTCATTTGACTTAAAATACTTTTTAAAATCAAATTTTTAAATTGATTGATATTTTAAACTTTTTTTTGCATGTCTGTAAAGCATTTAAAGAATTTCACAAAAAAATGAATGATTTTGCTTTAATTTAATACAAAAAAATTTATTGTTTCACTCAATTGGAATTTCCAAAGCACCTTCATGAGCTTCTTAGCTTCCATAAAATATCGCATGCGAATAAACAAAATGCGCATTAAACTCCAAAAAAAAATTATTGACAGCATTTTTTTTTTGTCTAGAAAGAAAGAGTGAGCCAGAGATCATGACGAGGAAAAAATATCAGAAACTGATTAAATATTCAGCACTGTCTGTCATCTCGAATGAGTCTATAAAAAGTGAGTTGTGACTGAATCTAAATTGGAACATTTGTAAAAAAAAATTATATCTAATAATAATGCTGCTCGCTCATATGAAATGAATTTTTTTGGCCCCCAAGTAGACTAGATACATCAATTATTTTGACCTTAGCCGCAAAATTATATGTTGCAAAATCTTCACATATTGAATATTTTTGTGTATATAGTCGGGTGATTGTCCGAGCGAAAAGATTTCTTTTTTTAACTGTGATTACTTCATGAATGAGGATGATATTGGCTACGGGGATGATAATCGTAATGCTTGTATGGTTTCATTGACACTGAGCTTGAAAATCATTTTTTTTCTGCGTTATCTTTGTTTGCGGAAACGTTTCAAGTTCATTAGCATTTGATGCTATATTCGTAAAATTTCGCATGTGTTGATTAAAATATTTATTTATTTGGTATATGCGGTCATTGAACGCTCTGAGGATCACTGACGAAATCGTGAAGTAACAAACGAAATTTCTTATCAAGTTGTGAGTTAAATGCATGTATGCTACTTGTGACCCATTTCTTCTTTTTACATTCAATTTGTACAATGTCTACGTAAGTAGAGTCTGTATATTGAAGTTATTGCGTGGATCATTGAGGATATAAGAATGAAAATACCGTAAATTACTACCGCGAGACTTCAGTGCTCAAAATGGCAAGGTAATTCTGGCATTTTAGGCATTACTTCCTATAAAATTCTTACTTGGCTTAAATCAGCTAAAAGTCAACACATGCCAGTAATGAAATTGAAAGTTTGGGGTCAATTAGCTATGATGTTTAGTTTTTAATAGGTCAGATAAGTTTTGAAGGTGTGTGCGACTTAGAATATCAAATGATATCCAACATTAAGTCGAATTTCGGTATTCCAAAACTCTTTGTATACACATAGAGTGATGAAGGCCCAAAACTCTAACTTTACGAGGGACGTCATAAGTGAATAACTCCATAGACGTGATTTTAAACCGACCCATTTCAGGTAGCCCATTTTCATTTTCAAGACCACATCAAAATAATTTTTTTTTGCCTGATCTCTTACATTTCATTAACGACCATTGCACAGCAACAAGCAAAAGAAAAGAGAGAAAAAAAAATTAACCACAAGCAGTCATGATCCGACAATTAAACTTCAGCAACAAAAGTAAATTTTAACAATATCGGTGAGCAAGAGCAGACAACAGAAGGAAAGAGAAAAGAAAGCAGTCGGCTGGAGATAATGAAAATGCACAAAAAAACTGTTATAAGATTGTGTAATACACAAGATAAATTATTATTAAGACCTTGACATTGAAACGGTTTATTACATGATTTCTCTCGTTATTTCTTCTTTTACGTTTTGTATTCAATTTAATTTCCAGCACTTTAACTTCACTTTCGTTTGCATTTGCACGTGTATGAAGATGAATAGATGCTGCTGCTGCTTCTGTTACCTATTTTCTTTCTCTTTCTAACATCTCATCATCTTGTAATCTTGAAAATGATTATCTTTTTGCGTGTGCGTACATCATTGAATGATTTTTTTCATGGATGCTAATATTGACTTTTCGATTCTTTGTGTTAAATAAATTTTATATTATCAAATACTCGACAGAATAATAAATTTATCGCACCATTCAATGTCTCATTACGAATTTCCCTTTTACGATTACATTTTACGATGATATTTTGTGAGAAAAGAGCTTTGAGTCAAGGAAGATAAGCTGTAAAGTAAATATTTGGAGCTGTTTAGAAAAGGTTTATATTCATAGATAGTCTCGAGTCTTGGCAATAAATGTGATACGTTTAGAATATTCTGTTGACGTTTGGTATTATGCAATAGTCGCAAGAAAGGCAAACATGTGAGAATAGCTGTTTAGTGATGTAATTGTGAGTTCTTATGAATTGTATTGGAAAATCGTCTCATTCTAACATTTATAGACCTGATTATTGATAAAGCGACTGAAATTTTGAACCTTTTTATTGATGATATTTAAAATGAAGGTCCAGACTTTTTTTAAGCTGTGACACGTTTGCTAAAATTGAGGTTTCTTTAATTTTTCGGTTTAGAAATGATTAAGAAATTTGGACCATATTCATTATGACTCAGTTAGCCAGGTTATTGGTTGATTAAGCTCCCTAATCGGAAATTTGAATCTAGTCAAACCTTAGAAGACCTAAACGTGAATGATTCACATTCTTACTGATTTTTCCTTTACAAACAAATTAATCCAGTTAAAAAGTCGTACAGATTGACTCCAAAGAAGTCAATTAAGATGCAATAATCATTTTAAAACAACAGTTCATCAGACCTCAATTTAATATTCTTTTACTCATAACAATAAACATGAAATTGACAACTTGGAACATGCAGAAATTCAGTGGGATCATGATCTGGCGGTTTGGTGAGTTTTCTGATGTGCCGCAGAGTTGATTCTTTAAATTTTTATCAGATATAAATTTTTTTCAGTTTAATAATCCTATGAATCAGATGGAATGCACTCAATCCTTGAGAAATTTTCTGACTCAGTGAGAAAAAAATTGAATGTCAATCGAGAAGTTATTGTAGTTTATGACTGAGAGGATCTT